AAACCATAGCTTTGATTATGTGGATCTTTGTCGGCAAGGTGACGTCTCTGCTTTTTAATATCCTGTCTAGGTTTGCCATAGCTTTCCTCCCAAGGAGCAAGCATCTTTTAATTTTATGGCTGCGGTCTCTTTCTTCGGTGATCTTGGAGCCCAAATAAATGAAGTCTGCTACTGCTTCCATTTCTACCCCTTCTATTCACAATTCAGTGAAAGGGACCAATTACCAGGCTGGGAAAAGATGGTGGTAATACTGCTTTTATTGCTGTAAAAGGTGGGGAGTTAAACACAGGGGGAAACTGACTGATTAGGTGCCATCAAGTTGGTGTTGACTGTTAGTGACCACAAAGATGGATTTCTTGCAGGACTGTCTGTCCTGAACTTGGTGTTTCAGGTCTTCCAGTGGTTGTACCCACTGCTGTTAGAAGTGAGTCCATCCATACTTCTGTTGATCTTCTTTTCTTTCCTTCCACCTTTCATTAGAGCCTTTTCCAGAGAGCTGAGTCTTTTCTTTCCTTCCACCTTTCATTAGAGCCTTTTCCAGAGAGCTGAGTCTTTGCATCATGTGTCCGAAGTAGGATAATTCAGGAGAAAAAGGAAACTTACAACTATTAAATATTGTCACTTTTCACTGTACCATTACTGTGTGTAAGTGTAATTAGGCACAGATAAGTGCATTTATTGTATATATTAGGTTTAACACAGTAGAAGTATATGTTTTGTATAATAAACTAACATGTAAATATCAAAGCATTCAGTGTCTTGGTCTAGGGGTTGTAGCATAACTTAACTGGAATCCTCTCACAGGGCCACAGGAGAAAACAAGTTGGAAATGGGCCGTGGATGGAAAAAAAAGGTTGAGAAACACTATTCTAACTCAGTGTTTCTCAAGCTTGGCAACTTTAAGATGGGTGGACTTCAACTCCCAGAATTCTGAGAATTCCCAGAATTCTTGAGAAACACTGTTCTAAATGACAGGATTTCAGTTACAGAACTCTGTCCTTTCATCCCACCCCCAATCTTCTTTCACAAAACTCAAAGTCCTGCCTGTTCAGCCAGCTCCTTCAGGCCAGAACACCTTTAAGTTTTCTTGTTACTCCTTTTGTTTGTCTGTTTTAAAATGAATTTTGTCCTTCAGGGTTGCCGTACTTGCTCGTTCACCATTGCTAATTTTCTTGGGATGGTATCATTTGCTTCTCCCCCCGTAAAATCCTCCAGGCTCTAGTAGGATTCAGAGGAAATAAATAATTAAGAGCTTATGTGGCGGTGAACCTGTTAATTCACTGAAGCTTTTCATTGTCATTTAGGACTTCCATTTGGACTGTATTATACGTACTTGCCTTTGGCATTGCGGTTCCATTTAACTCTAAACATTACCTTGGTGGATGGCTTCTGGCGTCTGCTTTCCAGCTGCAGCCAGCCAGGGGCCTCTGGGGAGGGTGACTGTTGCGTCTTTGGAATCTGGTCTTCAGAGATAGACTGCTTCTGCACATGGAGGTTCTCCTGCCAGCTCCTGAGGACAAAATAACCATCCAGAGTGACTTGTCTCTCTCCCCGCCTTGTTTTCTCCTTGCAGGCGAGCGTCCATTTCCATGCAATTGGGCCGGCTGTCAGAAGAGGTTTGCCCGCTCAGATGAATTGGCCCGCCACTTCCGCACCCACACCGGCGAGAAGCGGTTTGCCTGCCCCCTCTGTGAGAAGCGGTTTATGCGGAGTGACCACCTGACCAAGCATGCCCGCCGCCACCCTGCATTCCAGCCAGGCATGGTCCGAAGGTCTGACTGCTACAGGGCCTCCCCTACTGACTCAGCTGGCAGCAGCTTGGCTGGAAGCCCCGCCCCTGGCAGCCCCGCCTCTGACAGCCCCGCCCCTTAAAGGGGCATCCCACCCTGCTACTTGTCCTTCCCAGGCCCAGCACTAGGGGGCGACCAGGTACTATTTCAGAGGCATTTTTTATTCAGAATCTTGGCTTCCCCATCACTTCCAGTTATGGTTTAATATGCCTTATTGCAGAAACAGCCCCTCCTTATGCTTGGTGGGCATTTTGATTACAATACCAGTCCCGCTCCCTGCTTGCTTTCAAGCTGTAAGCTCTGTGCACATTCCCATCCCACCCTGGCCGATGGTGGCAGGATTTGTGGCAACCGGACCAGCAGGCTTGATTAAACCTTGTTGATGTTCCTTTGGAAAGGGGCCCCCTCCAACCCCCAATCAGTGCCTAGCAGATGATTTCCTAGCCCTTGGTCAAAGAGGTAGTCCCACCATCACTTGGCTTCAGTTTCCCAGCTGCAAAGAGACTTTCTTCCAAGGTCTGTGCTTGGTATCACTGAAATGTTCAGCCCAACCTCACTGTAGTCCTCAGGAATGAAAGAACCTTGTCCAAGTTTCACTTAGCTTTAAGCTTCTCTCTCTGACCAACCTGTTGACTCTTTGAATTTAGAAAGAGAGTATGGTGGAAATGGCTCTCCATGCCGTTGGTCCCCTGGCGTTCGATAATCAGAATTAAATTGCCCTTGAATAATTAGGGTCCATCCTTAGCCATCAAGGTGAACAGCAAGACATAAGAGATCACGTCACTGCCCAGAGTCACTTGTTTGAGACGGGCAGCTATACAAATTGAATAAATAAATAAATAAATGTCTTGCTGTCTTGTCTCCCCACCCCCACCCTAAATTGACTGCCTCCAAACAATCTTCTTGGGGAGCGTTCAAGTTGATATGGTCCCTTTGACACTAGGAGTGCAGCAAAGGTGGGAGATGATCTTTTTGGCCCACAGGGAAATTGTGTGTTGGTAACTAACTTTGGGACCTGATACTGTATGTAAATATATTTTTCCCAGGTCTACCTTTTCTCATGGAAAGAAAGATGAGGACCTGTCTCTACGGGTGTATCTGTTTCAGGGTGGTGTTTTTGTTTTTCTTTGTTTTGTTGGTAAAATGTATATTTATTCCTTTTAATATAGAATGTAGCAGACCAGTGGTAAAGTTTGGGTATATTGTCTGAATGGTCTGCACATGGCTGAACTAAACCTGAGAGGAATGGGATTTTTAGTATGACTCAGGACACCTAAAAGCACTTTTTCTCCCTTTCGTGGGGCTGTGGCAACTGCTCTGCACAGCTGTACACCAGGCAAGTGTGTGTGTGTGTGTGTGGGGTGGTTTTAAAAGTGGATGCTTTGATGCTTTTGGTGATGGTGGTTCCTTGTAAGCTGTCAGGTATCTCAATGATGTTAGACCTGAAGCAGGCCCAAGCAGACGTTCAGGGACACAAAGCTCCAGTAAGTAGATTTATTGTTTGAAAAACGACAGGTAGTCCTTGCCTAACAACCACAGTTGGGACCAGAATCTTGGTTGTTGAGCAAAGCGGTCGTTAAGTGAGATGCCCATGTAACTGCTTCGCTCAATGACTGCAATCCGGGCACTTCCGATTGCGGTCGTTAAGCAGTCTCCCGGGTCGTTAAGTGGACGGAGCGAAAGAGTGCTCCATGCAAAGCTGAAATCCTTCAGCAGACACCTCTTTCACTCCGTCCTCTTTCCCCTCCCCTCTCTCAGCGGTGAATGGAGCACCTGAAGATTTGAGGTCTGTTCCTTCACACCACCACATCCCCTCTGCTTGCAACCTTCCCTGCCATCTTCTGATGGGGAAGCCGGTAGAGAAGATTGCAAATGGCAATCACATGATCGTGGGGTGCTTGGCAACCAGTTGTAAATGCAAGCTGGTTGCCAAGCGCCTGAAATGTGGCCATGTGACTGGGGGGCATGACGTTTTACGACAGCCAGAAGAAGCACCCTTTTCAATGCCATCGTAATTTCAAACCATCGTTAAACGAATGGTTGTTAAGCGAGGACTGCCTGTAATGCAGCCATTATGAAAGAATTTCAGTGATTGCTATGTATTAAATGCAAGGTCTGTGTATTGTGAAGTCAAGCTTTACTTTCTGGTGGCTTCTGGTGCCCATATGGTGTAGCCGGCTTGAAGTATCAGGTTGTTTGCTTTTGACCTGATGAAAACTAGCTCTTACAAAAATCCTTGATTTCCTACTGTGCTCTGCTTCTGAAAATGTAAATCCATTTATGCAGGCACAACTCTCTTTGCGCTTGCATTTTGAGAACAAGCCAAGCTGTCACTATTCACGTCCTTGCAAATAAGGTGGACTGGAATAATGAGACCTGGGCAGAGGTACCATTTAGATGTTTCATGGGATAGTAATAGATGGAACTGGGGAGAAAAAAAATGCAGAAGTGAACACGTTGCCATACTAGTGAGTCTTGCCCTTGGCAATAACTTCATCTGTAGGCTAACCTAGACAGCATCTTTCAATTGTGTTGGACTCCACCTTTTAGAGTTCCCAGTCTGGGAGGGGAGGGAGTGGTTGAGGGTGACTGGAATAGGACAGTGGAGTGACAAAGCATTTGGGGTAAGTGGAATGAAAACTGGGGATAGGAGAATGTATGCAAAGTAGCTGCAATGGTCTGTGAGAATGACCTTGGGAGATGGGGGGAAGAGATGCTGCCTCAGGAACGATCAGATAGGGAGGGGGGATAGCCAGTAGCTGCATAACGGGCAGAGAAAGAAGCTCAGAAAGGAACCTCCCTAACTTCTCAGGCTGTAAAAGAGATGGCAGGAGATTTGTACTTTCAGACTTGCAAGATTGATGTCAGCCTTCCCAGGTAGACGAGACAGGAAACACAACCAGATGAGCTA